ATGTTTTCAGCATCTTCCAGAAGCCACACAAGATGCACCTCACTTGTTGAATCATACAAATCTTGCAAACTTCTCATTTTGGGTTGTAGAGGTTCATCTCCATCTTCTGTTTCTTCATGTTCTTCTGGAATACTTGTTGGTACAACTATAGTTGTTTCTTCGACTGTGTCAACAACCTCTGTCGAATTGTTCCAGTCCCACTTGCTTGCTTCGTTCATTCGAACGTCTCTGCTCACAATCACTTTCTTGCTTATGGGATTGAAGAGCTTGTACCCTTTCGTCTTCTCATCATATCCAATGAATATGTACTTCTGACTTTTGTCTTCAAGATTTGTTCTTCGTTGATCTGGTACATGTGCATAAGCTATGCTACCAAATACCTTGAGATGAGAAATTGTTGGCTTCTGTCCACTCCATGCTTCTTGTGGTGTTTTGTCTTCTAACTTCGAATGTGGACATCTATTCTGAATATAAACAGCACATTGTACTGCTTCTGCCCAGAATTCTTTCGACATGTTCTTGCTTTTGAGCATTGATCGAATCATGTCAAAAATAGTTCGATTCTTCCTTTCAGCCACACCATTTTGCTGAGGTGAATATGGTGCAGTTAGGAATCTCCTTATGCCCTGTTCTTCACAGTACTTCACAAAGGCCATCGAAGTATACTCTCCTCCTCTGTCAGATCGAATTGCTTTGATGTGTCTATCTGTTGCCTTCTCCACCATTACTTTGAACTTTTTGAACACTTCTAATGCTTCAGATTTTTCTTTCAGGAAGTAGACCCAGGTTTTTCTTGAGAAGTCATCAATGAAGGAAATGAAGTACCTTTTTCCACTGAAGGATTCTGGAGTGATTGGCCCACATATGTCAGTATGTATCAATTCGAGTATATGTTTAGCTTGATACTCTGCCTTCTTTTGAAATGAGGTTCTTGTTTGTTTGCTGAGCACACATTCTTCACAGAATTTTCCTTCGAAATCCATGTCTGGTAGTCCATACACCATGTTCCTTTTCGCCAACCTTCTCAAACCAGCATGATGTAGATGACCAAAGCGCATGTGCCATAGTGACGCTTTGTCTTGCACTTCGATTTGCAGACATTTCTCTCGAATGTTCCTCAGGTTCAGTTTGTACATTCGATTCCTTTCCATTTCGACAGCGGCAATCAGATATCCTGCTTTGTCCTTCAACTGCAGTGTTCGATCTTTCATCAGTATCGAAGCACCTTTTTATGTAAGTTATCCCAGACTTAATATGTTGGTCTTAAGATCTGGTACATAGTAAACGTCTTCGATTGATCCAATCAAGCCATCCTTCTGTAAGTAACTGATTGTGCCCTTTCCTTCAACCTTCACTTTCGATGCATCTCCAAAAGACACACTACCATCTTCAATTCCCTTCATGTCTTTAAACAGGTGTTTGTAACCACACATGTGATTACTTGCTCCTGAGTCAAGATACCAAACACTGTCATTGGTGTTGATTTCGTTTTGAGCCATCAGGAGAAAGCCTTCATTCGATTTTGCTTCCAAGGCTAGATTGGTTGTTTCTTCAGTCTTCTTTTCATTTCGACATTCTTTTGCAAGATGTCCCACTTTGTCACAGTTGTAACATTTGTAGGAGTTGCAATCCTTCGCGTAATGACCATACTTCCCACACTTGTAGCATTCGAAGTTGGAGTAATTCGAACGACCACCTCTTTGACCACGTCCTCTGCCACGCCAATTTTGTTGGCTCGAATGTCCTCTTTCAAAGTTGCTACCTCTACCACTTCGACCACTGTCACGACCTCCACGTCCACGTCCTCTTCCTCGAAAGTTGTGAGAAAAGAGTACCTTTTCATCTTTGTTCGATTCCTTGGTTTGGTTTGCTTCTTCGTCTGCTTCTTCTTTCTTTTTCATCTTTCGTTGTTCATGTGCTTCGAGCGAACCAGTGAGCTCTTCGATTGAGAGCGTCGAAAGGTCCTTCGATTCTTCTATTGCACACACAAGATTTTCAAACTTGTCTGTTAAAGATCACAAGATCTTTTCAACAACTCTTGCATCAGCTACTGTCTCTCCATTTCTTGTGAGTTGATTCACCACCTTTTGCACACGTGTGATGTAATCAGATACAATTTCTGTATCCTCTCCAATTCGCCACGAAGAGTTTGGAGTCGAACCTGCTTCACTCGATATGCTCCTTTGAACACCTTTTCTAACGTGTCCCACGTTTGTTTCGACGTAGTCGAACCAGCAATCTTCTCGAAGCCTGATTCATCTACAGCCCTGAACAACATGTATAATGTTGTTTTGTCCTTCGCTCGCGTCTCTTTTAACGCCTTCGTTTGAGCTGCTGTAAATCCCCCAACTTCTGTTGGTTCTTCAAACCCATCATGGGTCACCTCCCACGCGTCTAGAGATCCAAGAAGAGCTTTCATTTGGATACTCCAGTTTTCATAATTGGACTTCGTTAGCCGTGGTAACGGCATTTGGTTCATCATGTTTGCCATGAGCTCTGATGCCAAATTGTTAGATTTCAAATCAGACTTCTGTATAAATTTTGTATATTGCTCTTGTCAAATAAATTACACACTTGGTCTTTTATAGACCCAAATAAACTTTTACAATTCTAAAACATAAACATAACTGCTACTAATAACTATCATAACTTACTAAACTATTGTCCTTCCTACTACCATAATTAAATGCAAAGCTTATTACTAACACATTTAATGTTTATTCAACATCTATCAAATGGAGTCTCCTCTTTTTATGTCTCTAATACTACTGGACAACAACTTCAATTCAGGTGTTTCGTATCGGTATCACACGATACCACCCTATATCACATTATTTTCTTTGATAATCCTCCATTTCCATTTGGATAACAGAGCCTTGTTGAAAGCATTTATATCTTTAATTCCTAAATCTCATTCCTCTTTCGGCTTACATACTTCCTTCCAACTGACCCAATGGATGGATCTGTTCCAATCAACCCCTTTCCACAAAAAAATTGCTCTGAATACTTCGAATTTCTTTCAACACCTTTACCGACATTTTATAAAAGGATAAGGCAAAAACCAGAATAGCATTCAAAACCGCATTTATCAATATGAATCTGCCTCCTAAGGATAAGTATCTCCCTCTCCAAGAAGAGAGCTTCCTCCTGCAACTATGTATTACGTCCTTCCACATGCTGCATCTCCGAGGAATGTCACCCACCATTATTCCTAAAAACTTAAACGGCAAAACAACAGTTTTGCAGGAAAGGAAAGTTGATGTTGCTTTCATGTTCCAAACTCCTAAGTTAATCCCATAAATGTTTCTCTTACAAAGATTGACTTTAAGACCCGACATTAGTTTGAAACCTCTCAGAATAGACTTCAAGCTCCATAAATTTTTGAAATTTCCATCTCCTAGAACTATGATATCGTCTGCAAATTGTAAGATATCAATAGCTTTCTCCTCATTAATTTGGAAACCTTGATAATCTCCTTGATTAATCATCTTATCAATCAATCTCGTAAGGCCTTCCATTGTGATGACAAATAAGAAAGGTGAAAGCGAATCACCTTACCTAAGCCCTCCTTCTACCTTGAAGTCTTTTGTGACACTCCCATTAACCGTTACAAACATAGTACTATTAAATATGCATGCCCCCATCCACCTGCACCATAAATCGCCAAATCGCATCTTGGAAAACATGAATCTTAGATAATCCTAATTCACACTATAACGATTAACATGTACTTCCTAATGATTAGTTTTACTTATAGAAAAATATTACTAATGAACTCTTATTCTCAATTAATAAATAGCGATTGAAATTTTAACAGGTTTAGAGAGGTCGTTTTTTTCAATGATTTTTTATCTGACAATGGTGGATTTGGTGGTTTTGGGTACTAGTTTGTTCCTCCTCTCTTGTGCGAGTCTTTGAAGATAACACTTCTTTCAGAGTTTTTGTTTTTGACATGTTAGTTTTCTGTAATGCTTCAGATAAAGTAATTTTCATCTACTCTTAAATTTTCATTTATTTAAGACTTTATAAATGGTATTAGAGCATATCTCTTTTAGTCTTTTAGTATGATTTGGTTTGAAAATAAATCATGTGAAAGTTGGCGGACATGTAACACCCGAAGCTAAAAAGTGCGAGGAGTAATTATACTGCATGTAATACTCGAGACCGAAGAGGATGGGAAGTGGTTGTAACGAACTCACATCGTGATGAGAGAGGAATCCAAAGGTTGCGCAGGTATTGAACTACATAGTTGAAGGAATACATATAAAAATTGATAGATACTTCATATACCAACAAAATGTATTTTCTTTTCAGTGACCTAACAAATAAGAACTCTATAGTTAATCGTACTTGACTTGAAGTATTATTTTGGATGAGTAATTTTTTAGAAAATTTCTCAAAAAATATGTGAGTGAAAATAAAACATACTAAAAAGATTCATATTCATTTGTAGAATCAATCGATAATCCTTGAAAAAAATTTGGGACCTTACATTTTCGAAAATATACTTGATTTTTTTTTCTTCGTTTTTTCGAGTATTACTTAATAGTCCTTATGCTATTTTTGTTGAGTACGTTGTTTGGGTTTTTTCGTTTTATATTGATATTGCTTTGTCAATTTAAAAAATTATTTAATAAAAAGTAAATGATAAATTGTAGAAAATGACGTAACATGAATATAAATATATTGGTAAAGAAAAAAAGTATTGTATACTCCATGACATGTACTTTGTCTTGTTTTAACATCATAGATGGTCACTATATATGTATTATATATTTAATAATAATAAATAAAAGTAAATGAATACATGTAGGGCGGATACCCTATTATGTATATATTTACTGTTCCTTTATCATTTGAATTTCATATTTTGAATTATTTGTTGTATAAATTTTATAATCTTTGTAATTGTGAACGAAAAAGGTGAAATTTCCTTGTTATAGTTAGTAAAATTAACAATTCTTATGACATATAAAAATGTTTTATGTATAAAGACTTACTTGATTAGTGAAACCAACTCCGAAACCAAGAAGAACACGACCCAAAATGAGCATGGGAATATTTTCAGCACTGCCGTTAAAGGAACCGCCGGCAAGGAAGAGTATACCACCAAATAAGATGGTGTTTCTCCGACCGCATAACGCGGTTACTTTGCTAGCAGAAAGTGATGAAACTAATCCAGCTAAATAAAGAGAAGATGTGAATAATGTCAACACTTGACTATCATACACACAATACAGGTTTACTTCTGTACCAGCTGCCTTTCTTAGAATATCAGGAAAGAATTTTTGAAGAAATGGTACCATCGTTGTAACACCTCCTGAAATTTGATAAAAAATTCATTATGAATATATGTAAAATTTTGTCACGACTACGAGTAAGTAATTAGAGAAAGGAAGAAAAAAAAAATGAAAACCTGAAATTCCGAGGTCGTATCCAAAAAGAAGGCCACTGGATGCAGCAACTATGCATGAAATGATGATTGAGAGTGTTAACTTGCCACCGACGTTGATAGCAGTAACTGGTGTACTATCCACTGAGAATACCCCACCAGCCATTTTCGAAACCCTGTTTTGTTTTTTGTCTAAGGATTTTTCTATCACTTTGTTTGGTTCTAAAATATAACAGCAACCTTATATGTATGAATCTCAGTTAGTTTAACTCTATGCTGATTGCATGCATGTTTGTCTTGTGCAAAATGGACTTTTCATAATAATAATAATAATAATAATAATAATAATAATAATAATAATAATAATAATAATAATAATAATAATAATAATAATAATAATAATAATAATAATAATAATAATAATAATAATAATTAATAATAATAATAATAATAATAATAATAATAATAATAATTAATAATAATAATAATAATAATAATAATAATAATAATTAATAATAATAATAATAATAATAATAATAATAATAATAATAATAATAATAATAATAATAATAATAATAATAATAATAATAATAATAATAATAATAATAATAATAATAATAATAATAATGATAATAATAATAATAATAATAATAATAATAATAATAATAATTATTATTATTATTATTATTATTATTATTATTATTATTATTATTATTATTATTATTATTATTATTATTATTATTATCATTATTATTATTATTATCATCATCATCATTATTATTATTATTATTATTATTATTATTATTATTATTATTATTATAATAATAATAATAATTATTATTATTATTATTATCATTATTATCATTATTCTTATTATTATTATTATTATTATTATCATCATTATTATTATCATTATTATTATTATTATTATTATCATTATTATCATTATTATTATCATTATCATTATTATTATTATTATTATTATTATTATTATTATTATTATTATTATTATTATTATTATTATTATTATTATATTATAATATCAGGTGATATTAAAATTTCAAACAGATCAACTTGGTGGTCAATTAAACTTAAATTTAACATTAGGCGATACTGGATTTTGATTAAAAAAACTATGGTTTTCTATCAAAAGTTTTAAATAAATTTTATATTATTCAATAAAACTAGTTGCAACTTTTTATTTAAAATAGTAAAATATGTTGGCGGCATTCACTTGAAAATTTTCACAACTTATAAAATCATTTAAAGTCTCTCAATTTAAATGAGTTGCTCAGTGAAATGAATTCTGAAATACTTTTTAATTAAAAATATATATAAATAATTTTAGAGAGGAGCTAGTGTTACCCTCATTTCTCCTATTCTGTTTTTTGAGATGGATAAGGTGGGTTGCCTTATGTGATGGGATTAAGAGTTCGTGGCTAGATAGGTTTCACCAATTTGCCTGTCTTATGCATTGTTTTCAATCCTATTTTGTCACTGATTTCAAAATTTATTTCCTCTTCCCAGTTGACATATCTCCTCCTTGAGGTCTCTCTATAAACTTGTTTCCAAAGTGCTGGTACGTAGCTATACTTACTGAGGTCATGAACAACCTTTTTTCCCCAAACCAATCGATATTTCTTAAAGATAGATTTCTTTTTCATAATGGTTATAACTAAGATGGAGGACCTTTCTAAGAAAATAAAAAGTTTTGTGTTATTTCTGAGGAGGACTTTGAAAAAGCATATGATTCATAAAGTTGATTTCTTGAGTATATGCTTGTCAAGTTTGAGTCTAATATTAATTAATGATCATAGATGTGTTGCTTGTGTTTTCTATGAAAAATTTGCAGTTTTAATCAATGGTTGTCTGACCCAATAAATCAAAATCCAAAGCACTTATAAGCAAAGCGACCCCTTATCTCATTTATTTTTTTTGTTTTTGGCAAAAGGCATGTGTGGGTTGTTTTCTAGAGTTGTGGGTCTTGGTCTCTTATTTTGTTTTAGAGTTAGCTCTTCGAACATTAGTGTCTCACATCTATAGTATGTGAATGACACAATCATCTTGACATAGTCTTAAGTAGATAACCTCTGGTCGATAAAAGAATTTTTCAAGGTTTTGAGCTTACTTTGGGTCTTCGAGTTAACTTTGTGAAGAGCAGCCTCACTAGGGTTAAATTAGATCCTTACTTTATGGACTTAATTGATTTTTTTCTAGTGTAAGCAAGAGTCCTTTCCCTTCAAGTAACTAGGGTTAATGGTGGGGAAAAACATCAGAGTGTGTCTACGTGAAAACCTCTAAATAGTTTGATTTTTAGTCGATTAAGTTCATGGAGCCATCATTATGTTAGCCTGGGAGTCAAGTAATCTTACTTAACTTGGCCCTTAATGATATCCTTATCTTTTTATTGTCTTTTCTTAAATATCAAGATTTAAGAGGAGATTGTAAGGATCCAGAGAAGGTTCCTATAGGGAATGGCCAAATACGATTTTAAGATTGTTTGGGTTAAATGAAACAATATTGCAAGCCTAAACACATGGAGGTTTAGGAATCTCCATATGGTTAATTTGTCCGTTTTGGTCAAGTGGTGATGTAGGCTCATTATGGATGTGATGACAATTTAGCAAGTGTGCCAAATGTTATTGAAGTTATAAAATTTATAATTCGTATCCACATGGATTTTTTTATTTTAACAAAGGGGTTCACGTGCTATAGAAATTAAAATGAGGGGGTTTAACGTTTGATTTGAGAAGATAAATTGCACAAACGTGTTAATGTAGTTTTGATTCATAGAGTTATGATCAGTAATCATTACAATTCTAGATCGTTACATGAACTCCTAAACACATAGAAAATAATGAATATGAAATTAAAGTGAACAACATGGTGAATTAGTCAAATAAGCAAATAGTACGAAACACGCACATATGACCCCACAGGTTCATACATTCATACATGTTCATCTATCAAGTCCTAATCAATAAAAATTTAGTTACTCATACAAATAGGAATCATAACTAAAGTAATAAAGAAAAATACATGAGATTTTGGTAAAAGTTTAGCTTCCGGTGATGAAAACCTTTTCTACAGAGCTTCCGAAATTGCTTCATCGTGAAAATCCAATTAAATAATGAACAACCCCCATTTTTCCTATGCATTTTCCTTTTTTATGGAAACAAAAACGTGTTAAAAAAGCTTCCCATTGCACTCATGATGCATCTTTCACGCCCACGATGCTTCTTGCCTCAGCAAGATCGCATTCGTGATGCTTTTTGTCGCGTCTGAGATGACACTTATCTCACTTGAAATGGTCCTGTAAATTTTGTAGTGGCTAGAACTTTTTGTTAGCTTTTATTTTCAAAAATTCTCATCTCAATCAAAGTAACAAAACTCTATATATCATTAAATTACTGGACAAATATCATGATGTAAATTATGCTAAAAATGCTCTTTTATTTATAATCTCTCAAGTTTATCATTTTTTTGCTTTGTTTCTTGACTTCTTCATTTTTCTTCCTATTTCTTCATAAAACTTATACATAATTACTAAACAATATAAAAAATATATTTAAATGCTTGATAAAATTACATGATGACTCAGTATCATCAGGATGCTTCTGACGTCTACAACGACATCTTGTCTGCATGCTATGATGCCTAGTTTTTTCTTCACGTTTAAGATATAGGTAAGTTGATTTTCATTCTTCCTCTTCCTAGTGGAAAGGAACGTCTCTTATGGATTCCAAACTTGAGGATGATTCTGATTCATTTGTGGTCCATCTTAGTAAGAAAGTAGGACCAGACATTCAAACCTCCTTCTAAAAGAATATTTGGATCAGGCTCACTTTTTTTATGTTAGGTTCACTAGACTTTTTAGTATCTTTGATTAGTATAATCAGTCTATTGATTAAATTGAAGTATTTATGGATTGGATCAATACTTGAGATTTGAATGAGGGAGATCCTTCTTAGTCTACCAATAGAAAATGGTATTTGATATGCTATATAGCCATTCAGGACCTGACTCATTCCCATGAACCTGACAGGTGGGGGTGGGGCCAATTAGAGGATAGTTTTTTCTGCCGCGTCAACTTGTTCTAGCCTCCTTAAGAGTGAGTTGCTTCGTATTCCTCCGGTCCATCCATAGAACTCTTTTCTTTCTCTTATCTAGGATAGTTGAGCACTCTCTAAAGTGGTTGTTTTCTTCTAGTAACTTTTTCAAGAGGAGGTACTAGATAAAAACATGTTTAAACATATGGTGTTAGTGGATCCCGAGGATGTTATTTTATTTGTGACCACTAACCTGACAATGTATGTTTGATATGGTTATTTTAGGTGGTTGGGGGTGATGGTTTGTTCTTCCTAGGGATATTAGTACCTCTTTTTTTTTAAATCATTGGGAGGTAAGCCTAGGGTGAAGGTTGTTTTGGCTATGATCTCGCATGTCGTAGTTTGGTCAATTAGGAAATTCCAAAATGATGTCATTTTTGTAGGTTCCTCTATCAGAGCGAGAGATGTGGAAGATAATAGTATATTCATAACTTGTAAATGGTATCCTTGTATTCAAGTTGGAAATTCTTGTGTTTTCTCTTCCTAATTTGAATACCGTACTCGTTGTCTGAGTTGATAGAAGAGTTAGCGTCTTTGCCTTTACGGTGGAGAGTTTTTGGTTGTTCTCCTAGAATATGTTTTTTTTGTAGATGATAGTTTCTTTTGGTCGATATCTACCTTGTCCTTTCTTTGGGTAGTTCTTTATTTTGATGATCTCTTTTTTATTTAGTTGTTTGTTTGTTGGAATGTGTGTAGACTTTATTGTCTTTATTTTTATCTCTATTTTATTTTTTGTGTTTGTTGGGTTTTCATTCTAATACTTCTTGTATTTAAAAAGATTCTTGTTCAAGTCAGTGTTTTTTATTAAAAAAACTCACTCAAATTTGTGGTGCTTTCAAAAAATCTTTAGATTTTTTCTATATTCATGATACTATATTACTCTTCTTTTTAGTTTATTCACTTTTTTTCTTTCCATATTCATGTTTCATGTTATATCATATTTCTCTTATTTTTATTTATATCATCATATTTACTTCATGCTACATTTTTTAATCTATCATTATAGTTCATATATGATCAATTATTATCATTTTACTCAAACACTTTTGATTTATTT